CCAACCGACACATGAAAAAATGCTCAACAGCACTCATCATCAGGGAAATAAAATCAAAACCACGATGAGATACAACCTCACACCTGTCAGAATGGCTAACATGAACAACTCAGGCAACAACAGATGTTGGTGAGGATATGGAGAAAGAGGATCTCTTTTGCATTGCTGGTGGGAATGCAAACTGGTGCAGCCAGTCTGGAAAACAATATGGAGGTTCCTTAGAAAATTAAAAATAGAACTACCCTACAACCCAGCAACTGCACTACTAGGTATTTATCCAAGGGATACAGGTGTGCTGTTTTGAAGAGGCACAGACACCCCAATGTTTACAGCAGCACTGTTGACAATAGCCAAAGTACGGAAAGAGCCCAAATGTCCATCGATGGATCAATGGATAAAGAAGATGTGGTGTATGTGTGTATATACACACACACAATGGAGTAAGTACTTTTTGGCAATCAAAAAGAATGAAATCTTGCCATTTGCAACTACATGGCTGGAACTAGAGGTGAAATTGGTCAGAGAAAGACAAATTTCATATGACTTCACCCATATGAGAAATTTAAGATACAAAAAAGATAAACACAAAGGAAGAGAAACAAAAATAACATAAAAACAGGGATGGGGACAAAAACATAAGAGACTCTTAACTATGGAGAACAAACAGAGGGTTACTGGAGGGGTTGTGGGAGGCGGAATAGGCTAAATGGGTAAGGGACATTAAGGAATCTACTCCTGAAATCATTGTTGCACTATATGCTAACTAACTTGGATGTAAATTAAAAATTAATTAATTTTAAAAAAAGAACTTTGGTTATTTTTTTCAATGTAAAACAGCTGGAAATCGAAAACTTTCCTCCACAAGCCACTTGTTTCTCACATTCAAAAGCCTTAGTCTACTGCCTTGGCTTTGAGTTTAAAAGACCCATCCAGGGGCGCCTGGGTGGCTTAGTCGGTTGGGCATCCGACTTTCGCTTAGGTCATGATCTCGNTGTTTAAAAGGAAACACGAAATTTGGGTCTAAAGGGAGAGGTCACACCTACGGATATGGATTCTCAATCAGAATATTTGGAAGGGTGAAGCGGTGAAAACAGGCATGGTCACCTAAGAGATGAGGTGTTCCCCAGAGCAGTGTTTAAGCCTGGTTAGAAGAGCAGTCTCATGGGGCGCCTGGGTGGCTTAGTCGGTTAAGCGTCCGACTTTCGCTTGGGTCATGATCTCGCAGTTCGTGGGTTCGAGCCCCGCGTCGGGCTCTGTGCTGACTGCCAGCTCAGAGCCTGGAGCCTGTTTCAGAGTCTGTGTCTCCCTCTCTCTCTGACCCTCTCCTGCTCACGCTGTCTCTCTCTCTCCTAGAAATAAATAAAAAACATTAAAAAAATTTTTAAAAGACCCATCCACCTCTTTGTTCTCACCTGTGTCACTCTCACCCTTATTAATGGTGCCTGGATCTCATGGTCTAATCCTAATAGGAGCTTGGGGGAATGGTCTGTATAGATGTTGCATGAAACTGTTTGGTGGGGGTCTTCCATGTTAATATCGCCAAAACTTATTCCACCCCATAGGCATGAGGCTTATCCCCTTTCCTTTCTGTGATCCTACCAAAGCTCACCCAAGAGCCAGGCACCAAAATAGAGACCCAAGAAGTCTGTCTTTTTGTTACCTGACAACATCCACCCAGGGGAGTGTCCAGTACTAAGAGAGCCCAATCCTGATCAAGTGGGGTCAAGAACGAGGTAGCTGTGAAGCCACCACTGTGGTTTACTTAATGAGTAAACCAGGCTCCAAACGATTCCAGGGACAGAGAAGCCAAAGAAGGAACAAAGGGAGGAGAAGGTAGCTGTGAGATGCCACAGAAGGTGGAGATCCTATGGGTCTACTGCTTCTGGGAAGAACCAGACCAGAGGCTGACACCTGGGGTCGCTGCGCACACACTTACCATGAATCTACTAGCGGTTCCCTCCTGAGTTCAAAAACATCTATTGAGGGGCGCCTGGGTGGCTTAGTAGGTTGAGCGGTTGAGCGTCCGACTTTTGCTTGGGTCATGATCTCGCGGTTCGTGGGTTCGAGCCCCGCGTCAGGCTCTGTGCTGACAGCTAGCTCAGAGCCTGGAGCCTATTTCAGAGTCTGTATCTCCCTCTCTCTCTGACCCTCCCCTGCTCACGCTGTCTCTCTCTCTCCCAGAAATAAATTTAAAAAATAAAAAAAAAAAAAACATCTATTGAATATTCACAGTGGAAGACAGAGCAGACTTAACCCCTGTTCTCACGGAGGCATATGCTCTAATGGGCAAGACAGTTAAAATCAATACACGATTACAAACTCTGATAGGTACCTGAGGGTGTTCTAGGCTTATCTGTAATGAGAAGTGCATGGGCATCTCCAGTACATGGAAGAGGAGGAGGAGTATGGGACCTGAGTCACGGTGAAAGGTCAATACAGCTGAGCCCGAACAGGAGTGAAGGGCTAGGAGGTGAGGCCAGCAAAGCATTTAGATCAGTCAGGCACATGAGGAGTATCTCATTACCGTAAGGGCACCGAGAAGCCATTTAACATTTAAAGAGAATGACGTGACCAGATGTCTTGTTTAAAAGTAGCACTATGGAGGCGGGCACTTGTGGGGATGAGCACTGGGTGTTATATGGAAACCAACTTGACAATAAACTATTTGTAAAAAAAAAAAAAAATTAAAAAAAAATAAAAGTAGCACTCTGGCTTCAGTGCGAGGAGAAGGCCACGTGCAACAGAAATAAAGGGGGAGGCAAAATGACAGAGGTGAGAGTGAAGAGACAGACACAGGAGGACTGAAGGTGTATTTAGATGAAAGGATGTGGAGGGGGTGGGAGAGAGGCTGAAAGAAGTTATCAAAAATAACACCAAGGTCTCCACTGGACTCACTAGCTCACTGGGGGCATCAGACACCGAAATGGGGACACAGGCGGAGAGCCTGATGGAGAGGTGAGTGGTGAGAATGTTTTACAGGTGCTAAGCAGACAGTACCATACAAGCATGTAGATGTCTAGGCCATGGTCATAGCAGGTGGGCCCAGAATTCCAACCAAGGTCCTTTGGGCCTCCAAGCCTGTCTCCAAAGTCTACATTCAATGGTCCCTGCCAGCAAGGAGCACCAAGCCCAGTAAAGGAGGTTGACACTAATGAATGGAGATGGAGAACAAGGCTGCCAAGGGCAGTGTTGGAGTCACGATGGCTGTGTAACAAAACACCCCAAAACTCAGGGCCAGTATATAACCATTTCATTACGATTAGTGATATTATAAGTCAGAAATTCAGACAGGGCAAGGGGTGCCTGGGTGGCTTAGTTGGTTAAGCGTCCGACTTTCGCTTAGGTCATGATCTCACGGTTCGTGGGTTGGAGCCCCACGTCGGGCTCTGTGCTGACTGCCAGCTCAGAGCCTGGAGCCTGTTTCAATCTGTGACTCCCTCTCTCTCTGACCCTCCCCTGCTCACGCTGTCTCTCTCTCTGTCTCCTAGAAATAAATAAACATTTAAAAAAAAAAAAAAAAGAAAGAAAGAAATTCAGACAGGGCACAAGAATTGGCTTTGTCTCCTCTGTATGATGTCTGGGGCCTCAGCTAGGCACACTCAGCTAGGGGTGACAACATCTAGGGTCTGGAATCATCCAGAAGCTTCTTCATTTACATGTGTATGACAGATGCTGGCTACTGGCTGGATCCTTAGCTGGGCGTTCAGTTACACACATCCCTACCGTATGGACTCTGTGTTGAGCTAGTCTGGGCTTCCTCATAGTCTGGTGGCAAGATTCCAAAGAGGAGCATGCCAAGAGAGCAGGGTGGAAGTATAGGGAAGTCTTAAGGTCTAGCCTGGGAAGTCCCCTCACATCACCTGGGTGGTCATCACCAGCCTGCCCAGATTCGGGGGCGGAATATTTACCCACTTCTCAATGGGAGGCATGTCAAAGAGCACAAGGAAGGGGACATTGCTGCTGTCAGCTCTGGAAAATACAATCTGTCACTGCTGAAAAGAGGAAGTGGGTTGGAATAATGGATGCTAACGGGAACACTCAGGCCTTGTCAAGGCTCTCACAGTCAAGCTCTCTTAGGGGGAAAAAGAAACCAAACAGCTCCAATAATAGTAGCATCTCAAGGGAAGAGAAAACTTGTCCTGTGAGTGACAGACCCATCTAATCCCATCTCAGACTTCCTCTTTGGTTGCCCTCTCGTATCACCCACATATAGCCAGCTGCTGGAGGCAAGGGTTGGGAAGAATGGGGAAACTGAGTCACAGAAGGCAGTATCTGGGGTGGGAGCCACAGAAGCAAAGAGCTCACGGCTTCTCAGGCTCTGGACGCAATCTTGTGTGCTGGCTGTTGCCGCTCAAGATAAAAGCATTCTCATCGTGGGGGTTGCTCCTGCTCAGGCGCTCCCTCTGCCCAGAACTGGCCCCAGGGCCCGGCAGACAGAAGACACACCCCTCTTCCTCCTGGGTGTGGGGTGTGTTGCTGTCCCTGCAGGATGAACCTGGTGAAGTCCCTTCTCCACGCGGGTCTCCTCCAGCCTCTAGAACAAAAGCCTTCCTCCCTTCCAAAGACCTAACTCCTGGTTCACCCGAAGCCACTCCCCCTGCAAGCCAACTCTCAAAGCCGGAGTCGCCCATCAGACCTGGTGCATTTTTACCAGTGACCCCTCCAGAGTGGGCCCCACTCCCTGGAGGCCCCATTCCCTGGAACCCGCCTCCTGGTCAGCTGGGCAGTTCATCTGAGGCCAGTTCACTGGACTGTTCGCGAAGACGCTGGCGGACTGCGGGCCTGGGGCTACTGGACGAGGCAGAGCTAGCAGGGCCTCTGACATGGAGTGAGGCGGCCAAGGGACACAGCCCCGGCACTCGGGGAGCTGCCATAACTCTCCAGTTATCTCGGAAGCCTCAGAGCTGTAATTTCTTGGCTGAGGCGGATTCCTATTTCACAATCCAGAAGCAGAAACAGTCAAAATCGCACAGCTCGCTCCACCCATCAGTCATTTCCTCTTATGTGAGGGATCAGGCTTCCCCTCTCACTGCAGAGCAGCGTCCCGGGGGGCCTCTCCAGGACAACACGCAGACAGACAGGGCTCCAGGCCACCAGGATGGCCACACCTGCCTCCCGACCCCGCCCACTTCTGCCGTCCCTGCTGCTGCCTCTGCTGCTGGGCGTCACCGGTGAGTGCCGACCTCGGGGCCCACCGGGCAGGGACGCTCACCTGAGTGTGGTGGTGCCGGTGCCCCCAATGGCAGGGGGCGGATGGATCTCTGTTCCAGGCCCTCTTTCTTCACCACCTCTTCCTCTTTAAGACATTTCTCTAAATGTTTTCTTTTACAACAAAGATCTCCCCAAACAAATCTCCGCAGGATGCTTATTACTTGGAGGGGTCCTTTCCCCTTCCACTGAGGTCCAGACGGACTCTACCCCACATGACATTTCTCTACGGCCGGGCTTCCCACCCATCCTCACTTCCCACGCTTTTGTCATGCTGTGAAGGCTCCATGACCCCTGTGGCTTGACTGCAGGACCTCATGCCACCCTGAGGGTGAAAACCCCAGAACCCGGGAGTCAGGGCTGCCCTAATTAAGACGGAAATGATGATAGAAAGATCGATCGATCGATCGATAGATCACAAGGACTCCACATGCCACCTAGAACTATTAGAAAACTGGTTAAGTGTTACTTTATAGACTACTAAGCCTCCCAAAATCTCAGCATCCTAAAGGAAAATATACACATTTTATAGTAGTATATAGTATATAGTATATTATATAGTAAATATATATATTTAATATGTATAAAGATCGATCTCACAACTCTGGCATCACTACCTGAGCCCAAATCAAGAGTCAATGTTCAGCTGACTGAGCCACCCAGGCGCCCCCTAAAGTTATATTCTTGATGTGGGAGTTAATCCCGCCGGCCCACCCCCTTCTCCCCAGAGCCCACCCCCACACTCAGCAGACAGGCAAAGCGCCCCTTCTCCTCCTGGCCGGTTGATAGCTCAGTCAAGATGCCGTCCAGCAAAGTGGTTAAAAGTGCAGATAATTTTTTGAAACCGACCTTCCAGGTCTCAAATCCAAATTCATCACTGATACCCTGTTTGACCTGGGACAAGTTAGGAACCTCCCCGTGCCTCCATTGTCTTATCTGGAAACAGGGATGAATAATACTGCCTTTCTCGCAGAGTCGTGACGGGACTCAACAGGAGCAAGTTCATGTATTTCCGTGCTTAGAGTGACGCCTGGCACGCAGAAGGGTCTATGGAAACCCTTCCAGAGTTTAGTGAATGCAAATATGAGCACATAAAAACAGCCCTACTGATTCTGGCCATTACAGCACTCACTCTGTGTCCTTGACAACCCATGTCTTCATTTAAAACTCACAGCACTCGGGGCGCCTGGGTGGCTCAGTCAGTTAAGTGACCGACTTTGGCTCAGGTCATGATCTCACAGCTTGTGAGTTCAAGCACCACATCAGGCTCTGTGCTGACAGCTCAGAGCCTGGAACCTGCTTCACATTCTGTGTCTCCCTCTCTCTCTGCCTCTCCCCCACTCACACTCTGTCTCTCTCTCTCTCTCTCAACAATAAATAAACAATAAAAAAATTTTTTAAACTCAAAGCACTGATGAGGAAGGGCTTGATCCATCCTGCCTGACAGAGAAGAAACAGAAACCAGAGAGAGGGGCTTCCCCCAAACAGCAAGCTTGTCCGGTGCTGGAATCCGGCCTTGAACCCACATCAGCCTGACTCCAGGTCCACAGACTCCGGGCCGTCCAGGCACAGTCCTGAGTATTTTTCAAAGTTCCCAGGTCTAGTCCCACAACAAAGCTACAAGACAAGTCCCCAGGGCCAGGCAGGGGACCTGGAACTGACATGTGTTCCCTCTGGGTGTGGCAGGTGAGGCGGAGCTGCAGGTGATCCAGCCTGAGAAGTCGGTGTCTGTGGCAGCTGGGGAGACGGCCACTCTGCACTGCACCGTGACCTCCCTGATCCCCATCGGGAAGGTGGAGTGGTTCAGGGGGACAGGGCCAGACCGGGAGTTAATCTTCAGTTACAGAGGAGGACACTTCCCCCGAGTAACAACTGTTGCAGACGCCACAAGGAGAAACAACACGGACTTCTCCATCCGCATCAGCAACATCACCCCAGCAGATGCCGGTACCTACTACTGTGTGAAGTTCCAGAAAGGGACCCCTGATGTGGAGTTTAAGTCTGGACCCGGCACCAGAGTGTTTGTGCCTGGTAAGTCCAAATCGCTGAACACCCATCCTGTTGTTCTAACATAGTCACAAGCTCCTGGCTCTCAGCCCAAGGCTCCCTCTTTGTTAGGCCTTGTGTCATGGTTGAGTTGAATACTCAGGGCAAACTGAATATTCAGGGCATCTTCTATCAAAACAGTGCTAGGGGCTGGATTTACTTGCCCACGAAAAATCTGGGCAAACTGCAGGAAACGATGGTTGGCAAGACATTGGACATCAGGGGGACCCAGGTGGCTCAGTCGGTTAAGCCTCTTACTCTTGATTTCAGCTCAGGTCATGATCTCATGGTTCATAAGATCGAGCCTCGAGTTGGGCTCTGTGCTGACAGGACAGAGCCTGCTTGGGATTCTCTCTCTCCCCCTTTCTGCCCCTCCCATGCTTTCTCTCTCTCTCTCTCTCTCCCTCAATCTCTCTCCCGCCCTCTCCCTCTCTCCCTCTCTTTCTCTCTCTCTCAAACTAAATAAATAAACTTTAAAAAGAAAAAAAGACATTAGACATCAGGCAACAAAAGACAGTGATCCCTGAGAGAGGAGAAACCAATGTGAAAACCAAGGATGCCTCCAGCTTACTCTCTGAGAAAGCTTCCACGCCACCATTCAGTAAGAGAACGCAGAGGAGTACTGGCAGTACAGGAGTACTGTAGCTACAAGTCCGAATGCAAAATGGCAGGAGTTTTCAGAGTAGAGCACCAAATATGAGAAAGCTATACAGAGGGAGAGCTCCAAAGATCTTGAGTATTGTTGGCTGGGTACTGAAAAACTGTTCATAAGAACATACATGCACATGAATTCAAGTGCATGGCCTCAAGGGAAAATATCCCTGGAGCTCACACAAGGCCATGAATGGTGCCTGTTCCCACCAATCTGAGTGAAAAACCCTATAATTCATGGGGCATCCGGTAGCGTATGCAGAAAGGGTCTGCCTCGGTAAGAGGTGAAAAAAAAATTTAGCTGTAGACCAAATGACGCTGTGGTCCTCTAAACTTAAATACGACATATGAAAACATCAAACCATTTCCAGGTAATTTAACCATGTCCCCAAACAAGTTCAGGCATATTTATAGGATTACAAAATACCTAACACCAAACAAAGTAAAATTCACAACATCTAGCATGCCGTAAAAATTACCAAGCTGACAGATGGTCATTACAGTTATCGTGGTGAGCACAGAATAATCTACAGAATTGTGGGATCACTATGTTGTACACCTGAAACTAATAGAAAATTGTAGGTCAACTGTACTTCAATAAAAATTTTAAGATAACCAAGCAGGAAAATACATTTAAAATGTGAATCAATCATCTGAAACCTAACCAGAAAAGACAGATACAGGATTAGTACACCAGGTCATTAAAGTTAGTATACCACTATGCATGGTCAAATAGAGGAAAGGCTGAATATGTTAAGTAGAGGCATGGAAAATATTTTCAAAGATCCTTACTGAATCTTTAGAGATGAATATTGCAATGCCTAGGATGAAAAATACACACTGGATGAGATTAATGGCAGATAAGACACTGGAAAAAAATTGAAATACAGCAATAGACACCATCCAAAATTATACACAGAAAGATAAAAGACTGAACAAAGACAAACACAGCATCAGTCAGCTGTGCAAAAACCTCAAGTGGCCTAGTAAATATGTATTACAGAATCTGAAGGAAGAAAGGGACAGAAAGTCTGAAGAAATAATGGTTCCGTTTTTTCTACATATGATGAAAAATATGAACACGTGGATCCCAAAAGCTCAGTGAACTCCAAGCACAAGAAACATGAAGAAAACTACACCAAAGTGCATCATATTCAAATTGCATAAAACCAGTGATAAAGAAAAGACCTTAAAGGCAACAAGAGGAAAAAAAAAGATACAAAGAAAAAAGATACATTTGACAGAGTTCTCAAATGATACAAGCCAGAAGATAATGAAGAAACACCTTTTAAAAGTATTTTTCAATGAGATAATATAACAATCCTAATTGTTTATGCACCCTATGAAAGAGCTTCAAAACACATGACACAAAAGTTCATAGAATAGCAAGGATAGAGAAACAAACCCATAACTATAGTCTCCAATTTCAACACTCCTCTTCCAATAATTGGTAAAACAAGCAGGCAGAAAATCAATAAGTATGTAGAAGACTTGAACAGCATCATAAAACAATGTGAGCTGACAGTTATAGAGCACTCCACCCCAAAACAGCAGGATACACATACTTTTCAAGTACAAAGGAAACATTTGCCAAGATGTACCACATCCTGGACCATAAATTGTCTCAGTAAATTTAAAATAAGCCATGTCATACCAAATGTGTTCTCACTGGAATTCTATTGATAATAACAAACGATCTCTGGAAAATCCCCAGACATTTGGAAACAAAATGACATACTTCTGAATAATGTGCTATCAAAGAAGAAATAAATGGAAAAAGAGACAGCATCCTAAACTGAATGCACATGAAAGTACAACATACCACATTTGCGGGATGCAGCTAAAACCGTGCTTAGGGGGATATTTATAGCACTAAAATGCCTGCATTAGGAAAAGTCCGAATTGAAAGTTTGAAAAATTTCAATTCAGCAACCTTAAAAATTAGAACAAGAAGAATGAATGGAACCCAAAGTAACCAGAAGACAGGAAATAATAAAGAGCAAAGTAGAAATCAGAAATAGGAAATGGAAAACTAACAGAAAAGCCACTAAAACCAAAAGCTGGTTCTTCGGAGGAAAAAATCAGTAAAATTTATAAACTCCTAGCCACATAGCCAATCAAGAAAAATGAGAGTACACAAATTAGTAAGGGAAGGGTGAAGTCAGACCGTCAATGAAGGGTGTGTCACCAAGCCCACCACCACGGTGGGCAAATGGAGCTCAATCAAGCGGGAAGCTACGAGAAATGACACAGAACGTAAGTCTCAGAGGTAGGCCGTCACCAGGGGTTAGTGACTGACGGAATGATGGACTAGACAATAATAATCTACGGTTGTTAAAGACATTGGGCTAAAAGGCTGGCGGAGAACTTCAGAACAAAGGATCAGGCTGACAACATCCAATGCCACTAGTCAATCTGAATGCCATAAAAAGACAGCCAGATATTACATGGCTTCTAAAGTTATCAGCACCACCTATGAAGTATTCTTGCCCAAACGATGAACTTGATTCTAATCAACTAGATCCTTTAGACACAACTACAGGCAACACAGGGGAGAGAGGAACATGTCAAATGATACCACAGGAATATAAGACAGAATGTGGAAATTTCTGCTGATCTTTTCTGCAGACTTGGTTTTTTCAACAAATGTTAAGAAAAATAAGAGGAAAGGGAAATTCCTTCAGAAAAGGAGATTTAAGGACACCTGAGTGGCCCAGTCAGTTAAGAGTCCGATCTCACGGTCATGAGATTGAGCCCTGCCTTGGGCTCTACATTGGCAGCTCAGAGCCTGCTTGGGAATCTCTCTCTCTCTTTCTCTCTCTCTTCCCCTCCCCTGCTCGCCTGCTCGCTCTCGCTCTCTCTCGCTCTCTCGCTCTCTCTCAAAAGAAATAAACAAACATTTTTAGGGGCACCTGGGCGGCTCAGTCAGTTGGGCGTCCATCTTCAGCTCAGGTCATGATCTCACAGTTAGTGAGTTAGCTGTGCTGACAGCTCAGAGCCTGGAGCCTGCTTTGGATTCTGTGTCTCCTTCTTTCCTCCTCCACTGCTGTGCTCTATCTATATCTCAAAAATAAATAAACTTTTAAAAAATAAATAAATAAACATTTTTAAAAAACAAAAAAAAGAAAGGGAGATTTAAAGGACATTGCAAGGGGTTCCTGGCTGACTCAGTCAGTAGAGCATGTGAACTCTTGATCTTAGGGTCGTGAGTTCAAGCTCCACATTGGGCATGGAGCCTACTAAAAAAAGAAAAGAAAAGACATAGCAACAAAATGTAAATATGGATCTTGTTTGCATCCTGAGTCAAACAAACCAATTATAAAATGATATTTGTGAGACAAGCGGGAAAATTGGAATGGTGACAAGTATTAGATAATACAATGGAATTATTGTTAAATTTTAAGTATAATCATGGGATTTTGATTATGTTTAAAAAATAATTCTTAACTCTTACATATACATGGTGAGGTAGTTGTGAATGAAACAGCAGAGTGTCTAGTATTTGCTTTATTTTTTTTTAATGTTTTATTTATTTCTAGGAGAGAGAGAGACAGCATGAGCAGGGGTATTTGCTTTAAAATAATGCAGTGGATGGTGAAGTATAGGTAAAACATTTGTTGATAATTTATTGTTAAAATCCCATGATGAGTAATTTCTATTTTTAAAATTTTTTTTATATTTGAGAGAGAGTGTACATGTGTGTGCAAGCAGGGGAGGGGCAGAGAGAGAGGGAGACTGACAATCCCAAGCAGGCTCTGCCCTGTCAGCAGAGAGCCCAATGGGGATCCAACTCCCCAACTGCGAGATCAACCACGAGATCACAACTGAAGCTGAAGTCAGACGCTTAACCAACTGAGCCATGCAGGCACCCTGAGTAATTTTCATTTTTAATGTGTGTTTTAAGGGTGTTTTTTTTTTAAGTTTACTTTTTTACTTTGAGAGAGACCAACAGCGAGTGGGGAAGGGGCCGAGAGAGAGGGAGAGAGAAAGAGAATCCCAAGCAGGCTCCACACTGTGAGTGCAGAGCCCAATGCGGGGCTCAAACTCACAAACCATGAGATCATGACCTGAGCCCTAATCAAGAATCGGGCACTCAACTGCCTGAGCCACACAGGTGCCCCAGAGTGGGTTTTTTTGTTTTGTTTTGTTTTGTTTTGTTTTGTTTTGTTTTTGTAACCCAAGCGTATAAAATCCCTGAAAAGTCTTTGTCCACTCCCAGGTGTTTGTGTTCCCTAAACTGAAGTTCCCTACAGTATTTGGCAGTATGAGACGTACTGAAAGGAGTTACACATAACTGGCAGAAAATTTAGGGATGAATTTGTCACAGGTTCATAAAAACTAAACAAATGAAAAGAATGAAACAATTAGGGGTGCCTGGCTGGCTCAATGGGAAGAGTATGCGACTCTTGATCTCTGGGTCATGAGTTCAAGCCCCACGTTGGGTACAGAGATTGCTTAAATAAATAAAAACTTAAAAAAAAGAGAGATAAAAACTCCTGGGAAAACAAAAGGCTGTACAAGAAAGAAAATGTAATCATGGTATATTATATACCCCTGTTGTGAACAATGTTCCTTTGGTCCTAGAAATATAAATGCTGAGTACTGATAAATGATTTTAATATGTCTATGATAGGAGGATATACGGAGAGGAAGTGTGAATGGCAGGAGGGAGATGTAAGAGAGCTAAACCATCATCTTTCATAGTAAAAGGTCTATCCATAATATATAAAACTGAACCATCATCAATATATAAAGCTAAACCATCATCTTTCATAGTAAAAGGTCTATCCATAATATATAAAACTGAAAAATAGAGAAATGAGTGTATAAACATGTTATTTAGAAACACAGAAACGTCCAAAGGATCAAGTAAAATAGTGAAAAGCGGTTGGTCTGTAACTTTTCCCAGGAGAGGACGCAAGGGGTCTGCTTTTAATTATTTACTTTATGTGAATTTTTAAACAATGTACTTTGGAAAGGAGGGGAGATGGGGAGGGGGAGGGGGAACGACAAGCTCTGATCACCAGGGTCTGGTGTCCGAGTACAGACCAGAAGGGTGGAAAAGCAGTCAGTGAGGCCAGTTGGCAAGGCTGTTACGCTAAGAAAGGTCATAATAAAACTTAGGCAGAAGAGAAGACTGGAGAGGAGAGATCGGGGTAAGTCTAGCTGGGTGAACTTTAAGGGCGGGCTTCACACTAGAGAGTAATTCGCCATCTTCGTTTCTCTCTCTTCTCTCTCAACATTGCCTTGATCAAAGTGAAGCCCTCTCTTCCAGAGGTTTCTGGCCCCTCCAGCAGGGTCAGCCCAGGCCAGACAGTGAATTTCACCTGCACATCAACTGGCTTCTTTCCCAAAAATATATATCTGAAATGGTTTGAAAATGGCATGGAGCTCCCAGTCCTTCAGACCTTCATCTTCCTGCCTAAAGATACTTCATCCTACACCATCGTCAGCACTACCCAGGTGACCCTTGACTTGTCTTCATTCCACTCCCAGATCACCTGCCAAGTGGCTCACAGTACACTGCCCCAACCCCTCAGTAGGCATGTGAACATCTCCAAATTCCTCCAAGGTAAGGGCCCCACCCACCCACCCAAATGGCCAGCCATTGGCGACTATGTCATATTCCCCGTTTGGCCCAATTCACTTGCATCTTCCTATTTATTCTTCAGCAAATCCCTCGTGGGACGGGTACAAGGGTCCCTATCTCATATGATCATCCTCCTTACATGATGCCACTGTCGGCTCCTTCTCTTTCAGAGCCTATTGTATTGGGGAGGTAAAAGTTGATTCATTCCATTCAGCAAGTGTTTACTGAACATCTGCTATGTGGTAGCACTATTCGAGGGGCCGGGGATCCCATGGTAAACAGAACAGACCTAGTTCTGCCTCCGCGAGCTCACAATCCCCTAAGTCCCATCAACGAGATACAAACACTATACAGTTCTAACTTGTAACCTGTGCTATGGGGGGTAAGGGGGGAAGAACTAAGGGTTAAAAGAGAAGAAAACAGGAGAAATCCACCTTACTCAGGAACGCCTTTTTGGAGAAGCGATGTTTTAGCCGTAGCATGAAAGATGAAAGCTGCCAAGCAAAAAGGGGAGAAGAAGAGGTGTGTTTTCCAGGCAGAAGAAAGAGGTGTGCCAAGGCCCTGTGATGGGAGTGGGGAGTGAGGCATGGTGAACAGCGGGGAGGAGGCCCATGTGGCCAGGGCTTAGTGAAAAGAAGGGTGTGGGGGAGGGGGGTGGGGAGAAAGAGGAAGCTGGAGAGACAGAAGCAGGGACCAGACCACACAGGGCTTCAAGCCACAGCAAGGAAGTTTCTCCCTCTTGCATTGCTAACCACCACGCCCACCACCGCTTTGCTGCCAGTCACTACATTTGAAACACGTTTCTTAAACCCACCCTAGCGTCAGGGGAGTGGACAGTGCAGGCAAGGCCACACCCTTCTTGCTCTGACTTCGTAAAAACAAAGCCATTACCGAGTGTTGGATCAGACTTTGCGGAAATGTGGAAGGAGAGGTGAAGGAAATCAGCATCATTGCTGCTCCCAGGTCCATGGTCTGGCCTTCGCAAGGGCCTCTGCCCAAGGGGTCTGCACCCTCACCTCTACAGGGCAGAGTCCCACTCACCTCCTGCAGATGAGCACATGCGTCCCAGGGCTCCAGAGCCCCAACCACCCTTCTCTATGCGCTCCAGCCAAAGAGAAGTAAAGAGAAAACCCACTAACAGCATCACAATCTCCACAGCAGACCACCCCCACTGGAGGCAATTTGTGGCACCAACGTAAAGCATTGAGCTCCTCATTTTTTAAATGCCTCCCTCCCTAAATAGTAGTCTCACCTTGCTTAGATAAGAGATAGATACCATGAGAGGGTTCCAGCCCGGAAATGGAATTCCAGCCCCCACCTGGAGCATCCCAAAGAAGCGATGTGTCCCTGCCTCACGCAGATGAGGACATCAAGACCCAGAGAAGTAAAATGACTGGTCCAAGGTCCATGTGGCTCTTAAGTTCATTAGGTGGGATGTGAACCCCATAGTACACCTCTCTGGATGGCCACGTCAAACCTCACCTGCTGTAAGAAGACCCCATGCAGAGATACCAGAGCAGGGCAGTGTCCCACCTTCCCCAAGGAAGGTGCTTTGGTCATGGTCAACTGGGAGACGGCATTATGCAGCTCTCTATAGTTTCTCCAGACCCCTTCTCCTTCCCCACATCAATACAGAGACACTCCATCAACCCAGTCATCCAAGCCAGAGAACTGCTCTCACCCAACCTGTCACCAAGTTCTACACAATTCACTTCTCACATCTCTGTGACCCCATCCATTGCTTTCTGCTGCCACTGCCCATGTTCATCTCTTAGTTCAAGGCAACATCATCTCTTACCTGGACACCACAGTCTCTTTTCTCCTACTCACCATTACCCTTGACAGGCCATCCCCTCAACCCCCAGCAGCCAAGGGTGTTTTATAAAGGAAGCCAGATCCTGTCCCTTCTTTGCTTAATGCCCTTCAGTACCTCACCAGTGCTCTTGCAAAAATAAAACAAAATAAAACCCTTATCAGGATGTTCAACAGCAGTCTTCAAACATTTTTGAGATAACTGTGAAGAGCTATGTAGTTCATCATATATTTTCTTAAGTTTACTTATTTGAGACAGAGAGTGTGCGAGTGAGTGGGGAAAGGACAGAGAGAGAAGGAGAGAATCCTAAGAAGGTTCTGCACCAGAAACACAGAGTCCAACATGGGGTTCGAACTCACAAAGCGTGAGATCATGACCTACGCGGAAACCAAGAGCTGGACACGTAACTGACGGAGCCACCCAGGCCTCTATATGATATATTTTAAAGTTAACATCTGAAATTATTCATCGCAGACTTAAACAGTTGCATGGAACAGTACCCCAAGGATATTACAAATATTACATCTCTCTGGGGCACCTGGCTGGCTCAGTTGGTTAGGCGTCCATCTTCAGCACAGGTTATGATCTCATGGCTCATGAGCTCGAGTCCCACATCAGGCTCTGCATTATCAGTGCTTGGGATTCTCTCTCTGCCTCTCCCTCTGCCCCTCGCCTACACACACACACACACACACACACACACACACACACACACACAACATGCTCTCAGGCTCACTTTCTCTCTCTCCTAAAATAAATAAATAAACTTTAAAAAAATTTTCTTTTTATTTCTAGGAGAGATAGAGAAACAGCGTGAGCAGGGGAGGGTCAGAGAGAGAGAGGGAGACACAGAATCTGAAACAGGCTCCAGGCTCTGAGCTGGCAGTCAGCACAGAGCCCGACTCGGGGCCCGAACCCACGAACCGCGAGATCATGACCTAAGCGAAAGTCGGACGCTCAACCAACTAAGCCACCCAGGTGCCCCTAAGTAAACTCTTAAAAAGAGTAGACTCCCATTTAAAAAAAAAAAAAAAAAGAGGTGCCTGGGTGGCTTAGTCGGTTGAGTGTCTGACTTTCGCTTAGGTCATGATCTCGCGGTTCGTGGGTTCGAGCCCCGCGTCGGGCTCTGTGCTGACTGCCAGCTCGGAGCCTGAAGCCTGTTTCAGCCTGTGACTCCCTCTCTCTCTGACCCTCCCCTGCTCACGCTGTCTCTCACTCCCCTTCTGGTGGGGAGTGGCAAGGTTCTAGAAGACATCTGGGGACTTGCTGTGGCCATCTGGGGAAAATACAGTCTGCCCCATGTAGTTCACTCCTATCCATCTTTCATATGTCTTCTCAAAGGTCACTTCTCCCACAAACTCTTCCCTATCCTGCCCCACCTCCAGCCCAGGTCAGGTGCCTCCCTAGTAGGCTTTCAGAACCCCTCTGAGGGTCATGTGACTGCTTTTTCTTCCTTGTTCCTACCCCCCCACCCCCATCAGAGCAGGAGATCCGTGAGGCAGGAACTATGTCTGTCTTGCTCATGGCCGTATCCCAAGAGTCAAGGGCAGTGCCTAGGAAGATAAGGATGCTCCTTGAGCATCTTTTGCATGAAGGAAGGAAGTGATGAAGGAAGGGCTATTGTTTCAGTTACACCCACAGTGACTGTATCAGCACACGGTGTCCCAAGCCTCCAGGTGGCCATCCTCACCTGCCACGTGCGAAGGTTTTACCCTGAGGTCATACAGATCACCTGGCTGGAGACCAACAGATCCATTAAGACCTGTGAGGCTTCCGCCCTGAGCAAGAACACAGATGGCACCTTCAACCAAGACAGCCATATCCTGGTTTCCACCTCAGAGGACACAGCACTGATCACCTGTCAGGTGTGGTGTGACGCCCGGCCGTTGGCCCAGGCCAGTATGCGGCTGAGGGAGCGCAGAGCCGAGCCAGCATATGTGGGTGAGTAGGGCTGGAATGACCGAGCAGGCAGAGGTTCACGCCTGGCCCCAGAAAGGCCACGTTCACAGGCCATGTTTGTCTTGTGTGACCTTGAGGAGGTCACTTCGCCTTTCTGTAACTCAGTTTCTTCATCTATAAAACGGGACAGTGATTACAACCACCTCTTCAGAGTGGGCTAAACAGCGGGAAGCCCCGCTTTCACCACTCCCGTTTCACCAGATCCTCCCGTGAATTCGTTAAGTTCCTGTGAATTATCTTCCCTCACTTCCACCCACCCTCTCAGAAGCTGTTCAGATTCAACAAGTCCTGAGGGCCTACAAGGTGCTTTGACTGGGTGTTCCCATTTGATACAGAAACGTTCTAAGGTCCATGTCATAATCCCCAGTTTAAAGATTAGGAAACTGAGGCTTGGAGAGGTGAGGTGACTCTGTCAGTCCAAGGTACAGTCTTGGTGCTGGAGTCTGGGGTGAGGCTGAGCCTGTCCGGGGGATGAGTGGCAGGACCAGGAAGCCAAGTTCATCCTGATATCTTTCCGTCACCAGATGCCAGAGCGTTCAGCTCCCTCTTCGGAACCCTCATCCTGCTTGGCTGGAAGTTATTTCCCCTGACCGTGCTTGGCATCTTCTATGTCCTCAAGAGGAGATTTCCTTCCAAGTAAGAGGGACCTCAGATAGAGGCTGGCTTTCCGGGGGTGGCGGGGAGAAGACTCCAAGGCAACAGAGAGCACTGTGAGGAGAAGCCACACAGCACTCCCCATGCGCACCTAGCCTGAAGGCATGTTGAATCCAGATGGTCCCTAAGAGTCACACCGCAGTCCCTTCAACCTTCCCCTCTGCCCCTCACAGCTCCAGTCTGAAGATGCACAAAGATGCAAGCCCCTCCTTGGTCTGGGCAGGGGGAGCGCTTCAGGAGGGAGAGTGAGTGTGGAGACAACACTCTCGAGGCGGCCTCCGAGGAGAAGTGGGGGAACAAGGGCTTTGCCCCAGCTCCCCACTCCCTCCGCAGGTCAAGGGCACCACAAGGCCATCCTCAGTGACAGAGGATCCCCGTGCCCTCCCGTTTTATTTAGGAGCACTGACCCAGGGGAGGCACTGGCTCAGATGTCTGCAGCCACTACCAAAGCCTCTCCTGCCTCATCCGCCTTCTGAGACCCAGCAGTGCTGGCTGTCCCCCCATCTCCACCTGCTACAGTCAGTCCCCAGAGGAGACGAGATCCCGGACTGAGAGAGTCAGTCTGAGAGGTAGACTCTCACATCCAATGAAGGAGAGGAGCTTCTCTGGAAATTCTGGGCGTGAAGTTCATGACCCTGAGCAAGAAATCCAGCAGAGGCAAAACAGACTCCTACACAGGAAGAAACACAATAACTGCACTTTGGAAGGCCCCTCCCAGACTCCTCAAGGAAAGCCCATGGTGGGCACCCTAACTGCTATGACACCTTTACAGCTCCATCATTAAAACAGTATTGTTTAGGGGCGCCTGGGTGGCTTAGTCGGTTAAGCGTCCGACTTTCGCTTAGGTCATGATCTCGCGGTCCGTGGGTTCGAGCCCCGCGTCGGGCACTGTGCTGACTGCCAGCTCAGAGCCTGGAGCCTGTTTCAGAGTCTGTGACTCCCTCTCTCTCCGACCCTCCCCTGCTCACGCTGTCTCTCTCTCTCTCTCCTAGAAATAAATAAAACATTAAAAAATTTAAAAAAAAAAACAAAAACAAAAAAAAAAACAGTATTGTTTATAAAGTTTATTTATTTATCTTGAGAGAGAGAGAGTCCGTGCATGAGCAGTGGAGGGGCAAAGAGTGAGGGAGGGAGAGAATCCCAAGCAGGCTCTGAGCTATCAGCACACAGCCCCGACGCGGGGCTTGATCCCACAAACCGTGAGCTGAAATCAAGAGTTGGAAGCTTTATGGGGCTCTTGGGTGGCTCAGTCGGTTAAGCCTCTGACTTCAGTTCAGGTCATGAGCCGGCGGTCTGTCAGTTGGAGCCCCGTGTCGGGCTCTGTACTGACAGCTCAGAGCCTGGAGCCTGCTTCAGATTCTATGTCTCCCTCTCTCTCTGCCCCTCTGCCACTCACACTGTCTCACAAAAATAAACATTAAAAAAATATATTTGGAGGCTTAACCAACTGAGTCTTCCAGACCCCCCAGCATCATTAAAATAGTATTAAAGGAAACATTTATGGACAATAAACTTATGAAGAGATGGCCAATCTCATTAGTACAGGAAAGGCCAAAGCAAAACCACACTGAGATGCCATTTTTCTATACTCAGATAGGAAAAGTGAAGAAGCAACTGGGTCTTTCTCACGTTGCTAATGGGTATATAAATTGGCAGAGCGACTTTGGAAAACAGTTTGAAAAATCTGAACTTGAGTATTCACATACCCCATAACCTGCCCTTTACAGTTATATATACCCAAAGAAACTCCTGCACATGTACTCCAGGAAGTATATTCAAATACCTACGTGGTAGTACAGTTTAAAAATAGAAAAACCTGAGAACAAGCCAAATGCACATTTTAAAAAAAAAATTTTTTTTATGTGTATTCATGTTTGAGAGCGAGAGTGAGCATGAGCAGGGGAGGAGCAGAGAGAGAGGGAGACACAGAATCTGAAGCAGGCTCCAGGCTCTGAGCTGTCAGCACAGAGCTGGACACAGGGCTTGAACCCACGAGCCATGAAATCACGACCTGAGCCGAAGTCGGACACTTAACCCACTGAGCCACCCAGGCATCCCCAAATGCACATCTACAGGATGATGAGAGAATAATTTAGTACAATCCATGAACGTCCGGTTATTATACAGCAGTAACAGTGAATGAACTATAGCTACACACAATAAGTGGGTAAATTTTAGCAAAGAAAAAAAATATATATATATATAGAAGTAAGCCCCAAAAGATTTCATACAGCATATTATTTTTATAAAGCTAAAAACAGCCAACAGATGTGTTTTAGGGATATGTATAAATACGAGAAACATGTTTTTTTCAAAAAAGAACAATGAGTTCAAGATTTTAAAGAGTAGTATGGGACTAGAGGGTACTATGCTCAGCGAACAAAGTCAGGCAGAGAAAGACAGATATATGATTTCACTCCTATGTGGAATTTGAGAAACACAACAGACCAACATAGGGGAAGGGAAGAAAATTTAAATCAAAACAGAGAGGGAGGCAAATCATAAGAGACTCTTAAATACAGAGAACAATCTGAGAGTGGCTGTAGAGGAGGTAGGGAGGATGGGCTAAATGGGTGAGGGCCAATAATAAGGAGGGCACTTTTGGGGATGAGCACTGGGTGTCGTACGTAAGAGGTGAATCACTGGGTTCTACTCCTGAAGCCAAGATCTACTGTATGTTAACTAACTTGAATTTAAATTAAGAAAAAAAGTTGGGAGAAGGCCAGCTCTCAGACAAAGAATGGTGTATCCCATGATTCATAAATTACCAGAATCTTCTCAGCACTTAGGGCCTGGGTGTTATTTACAGCTTTATGTTACTACTCTGATACTGCATAATAATTTAACCTACGTAAAAGCAAAACTCCTTGGGAATATGGATCGTAATTTCTACTTCTCTATATGTAGCCTGTGCCTTATGCATAGTCCTCACTCAGGGGAACAACAGCAACAAAAAAAGTACTTGTTTTGGTCCGAGCATATCCTAAAATTCTGCAATTATTGTCACTTAAACAAGAATTAGCTCTTGAATTAGAAAGAACAAGAAAACCCTATTTAAAGTCATCATTGGGGGCACCTGGGTGGCTCAGTCAGTTGAGCGTCTGAGTTCAGCTGAGGTCATGATCTCACAGTTCGTGGGTTCGAGCCCCGCGTCGGGCTCTGTGCTGACAGCTAGCTCAGAGCCTGGAGCCTGCCTTCAGATTCTGTGTCTCCCTCTCTCTCTGACCCTCCCTTGCTCATGCTGTCTCTCTCTCTCTCAAAAATAAATAAAACATTAAAAAAAATAAATAAAGTCATCGTTGTTACTGTGGATAATGTGAGTACTATAATTTGCAATGTTCATGGAATTTTAAAATAAAGATCTTTCCCCTAAATTTCTCAGCAAAAAACAAAATTTTAAAAAAAGATCTTATTAGTTGCCTGGGATGGGGGGAGAGAAAAGGACAAGAAAGGTGGGTACAGATAGGTGGATGGAAGTCAATATCAGAATTCTAGCTTCCATGGTAGGTATTGGCTTCATGAATATTCATATCATTATAAACAAAAAATAGAGATAATAATATAAGATTGATAAATAAATATGTAAATGGGAAGGACACAGATGGGCTGATTATTGGAAGGGAAGGAGGGAGGGAGAGAAGATGGAGGGATGGATGGATGGATGGGTGGGTGGATGGGTGGATGGATGGATGGGTGGGTGGATGGGTGGATGGGTGGATGGGTGGATGGATGGGTGGATGGGTGGATGGGTGGATGGATGGGTGGATGGTTGGATGGATAGATGGATGATTAATAAAAGAAGGTCATGCATGGATCAATGATGAGGAAGTCATGAAGCAAAAATTATGACAGGTGCACTTCTACATACTTTAGATTCAAATGAAAAAACTAGAAGGACAAGACCTAAAGAGCCCCCAAGTTCCCTTCCTATTAGGACACTTACAAATCCACATTAGGAGGAAAGCACGGTTGATGGGTGTCACCATGGGTCTAGCACTTCACACCCGGTATCTTATTTCATCCTCATACCAATCACAAGGTGGATACCATTCTCCATTTTGCAGGTGAAAAATCTGAAGGAACCTACTAAGTGTTATTCAGATAACAAGTGGTGGAACCAAAACCCTTGGATTCCGACTAGTTCTGCTCAGTGCTTTCTAGGGAGCCACACCACCTACTGTCTAGGGACAGACGGGGAGGCCTTGATTCATCCTCATTCTCCTGCTTCCCAATCTCTCGGGCCTGCTGTTCTATGTTAAAGCCCACCCCGTGCCCCCGAGTGGGGGGCAGAAGGGGTGAACACATGCACTTTTCCAGCCTAGAGTAGATCTAGGGTCAGTCCTGAGCCCCATAATGGCCCTGGTGAAGCTCTGGGGGAGGTAGTGTGAGCCAAGTTCTGGAGAAAGGCTCTCTGTAGAAGGATAAATATGCCCAGGGGAAACAGGCATCCTACTGTGAGTTTGTTTCACTGCGGCCTTGAACTTTTGTAGTCATAGCGATGGAGGGCCTGAGCCCAACCCCCATTACCCCTCAGACACGAATCTCCTCTTCAACATTTTCTACTCACAGTAGAGCAGTTTCCACTTCAACATCCCCATCCCATCCACCTCTGGAAGACTTGGGACGTCATGGCCTTTCCCCCTCCCCTCCCCCTCCAGAAATGGGGCCAGGACACGGATGAGGCCAGCAAAGTACCTAGGGAGCAAAATTGAGGGAGACACTTTCTCTGGGTTGAGCAAGGACAGCAGGGACTTGCCACCTCATATTTTGTGTCTTAGACTCCATAAGTGTCCAAGTCTCAGGACTTCTGCTCCCTCCCCCCCATTCCTCTTCATGGTTGCTTAGACCCTGATCGGCATGCACCTAGATCACACCAATAGCCTCCTCATGATTCTCACTCTGGAGTCACCAGTCCATACACTGCATAGACATGAGAGTGGTCTTTTTTAAATATTTGCTCAAGAATTTTAAATATCAACTAGCCTTCAATTTAAAAATACACATAAAAAAAAAAAAACACTTCAGATAGTTCCTCACTCCCTAAGTCATACCTCAAGAAGGGGATAGTGATTCCCCCAGATGTCCCATATCTTGACACTAGGGGGAAAATGAACCAGTCAGAAGACTCTCAACTTGGACATGAAGGTGTCTCATCCCTTTAGGACAGAGTTCATGTCCTAAGCAAGCCCACAGCTTCCACACAAATAATTGCTCATGACAAAGAAGGCCATGTCTTCATGTGTTCCGCAAATATTACTGAGTTTATACTATGTAACAGGCACTTGTTTAGACACAGAGAAAATAGTGGTGAATATTGGTAGGGATGGTCCCTTTCCTTGTGGGGTTTACCATCTGATGAGGACAGATACCAAAGAAAGGAGGGAGGGAAGGTAACAGGGAGGGAAGTAGAAGGTAGGAAGAAAAGAAAGAAGAATGGGATACGTGTTCTGAAGAAAATAAAGAGTGCACAAGATACTGCAGATTGCAATGACAGATCTCTACAGGAATCAGGACTTAAGTGGCAGCTGTCTAGAAAGAATAACAGAGAAAGCCTTTCTGAAAAGGGACTATTTGAGCTGATATCTGAAGTTGCAAGAGCTGGGGGAAATACACTCCTCTTACAGGAACCCATGGTAACAAGACCTAAGGTGGGAAGGAATTTGGAACCTTCGAGGAAGAGGAAGGGGGCCACAGGGCTGGAACGAGAGAGTCGTGGGCAAGAAATGGGCAGGAGACACACACAGTGCTCTTGGCCACGGTGGGGAGTTTGGATTTCACCCAAAGAAGAATAGAAAGAC